TCTGCACATCCTTTCCAAATCTGCCTATCGACAAATGTCCGTCTCTCCTTGCTTTGTAAATAAAATGACTAAGAATAGATGATTTTGTGTTAATCCACCACTGAAATAATTCTGGTCACATCTCAGTGATCACGTCTCTGCCTCAGGGTGTCGCTGCTGAGCTCGCTCCTCATTTCTCTGTAAACTGAAAACAGTTTCGGTTTCATTTCTACGCAGAGCTGCAGCTCGTTTTTCTGGCTACAAGGTATTTAAAAGTCTTCTTTTACTGAGCACCACTCATAACGTAACAATGTTGAATGTACATTTGAGCTTGTATGTAAAATGTGCAACAGCTGAACAGGTAAGAGGGCAGATACAGTCAGCAGGGAGTGGGCCGAACTGCGGGCCCAGTTTCATTGGTTTCATCGTTTCTATAATACATTTCCATCTGCAGTGTTTAATCACATAACATGCTCTGCGCTATCAAACTATGAGTAAAATCGGGCCAGTGGCACAATGTGGAGCATAACAGCTCACAGAATGCAAATATCTAATGGAAGTAGATGCGGTATTTGTGCAACTTTATTCTACTAGATATAGTTTATCTGTTTATAGTTTATCTGATGTTGGTATGTTTTAACATGAATCTATTTTTGCACGATCAAAGTCTGCGGTGTGTAATGCTCCGTCTGTGGGTCCAGGTGAAATACAGAAACTGCTGCTGAGCTGTGTGAGTGAACAGGTGATGACATCAGCTTTATTATCCAGCACAGTGTCGTGTTCGTAACTGCCCAGCATTCATGTTGTTGTGTATTTATGTGCTAAGACACTGTGGTCCACTCAGCCATGAGTCAGTGTGACACAGAGGAGGGGGGCACACCATCTAAACATGCCAAGAGCATGGAAGACTGCCTGGACAATGAAGCTACGGGGTGAGACAAGAACTTCTCATACGGCATACAAACTATTTCATTTTAAAATAATGCTCTGTGGGGGTCTCCCCCCACGGCTAACAGTGAGCCATGTTGTAAAGGAAGTGGAGTAACCATGTGGGCGTTACCAAGTTATGTCCCTCTATGTATTTGTTTATTCAAAAAATCAGTTTTTAAAGCAAATGTTTACAAATAGAAAGTAAGTATAATAAAATCACTGACACGTAATGACTGGATTTGATATCTTTGAAATCTAATATACAGTATGCTGTTTCCCTACCAGGATGCTGAAGCAGTTAGCAGGCTCTCCTCTGTCCAGCTCTATGTCCATGAAAAGTGACTGGTCTATGGACCCGCCTTTAAATTTCAAAGAAGGGAACCTCTCTGTTGACAAAAGGTAACATTTTGAAAGTCATAAAAGCAATCAGCCCTGCCTCTTTGTTTTCAGAAACATCACTAATGCTGCACCCAAGGGTTAAATGTCCACTCCATCAGGGAGTGAGCGTCTCATAGCTCACTGCTGTCCTCACTCCTACACTTAGCTGATGTAAACTATCAGTGTCTCGCCCACTTTACTGTAGTTCTGCATTTCATTTGGTTCAGTTAGTATTTCATTAATCCCACGTACACCTGTAGACACCTGCAGACCCTTTATCGTTACCTACTGGTCCGTGCTGTGCTGAATATGTGCCGATCAGAGGACAGATACCAGAAATAACTGTGTACATATTCAACTTTCAGTGTATTTATGCAGTGATCCATAGTGTTACTGAC